TCTTCCCCAAAACATCATGTTACCATGACGACCACTATTGCAACGAATAAAAACTCAACCCTGGTGACGTCAGTGTTAAGTCACGAGACCAAGAGCGATGGTGTGACAGTACATTCTTCCATTACCACAGGTAATGATGGCGTGACAGTGCACTCAAGCATCACGACTAAAGGCAAGACAGTCACGCTGCCTCCCGTCACGCAAATCGAGCCGAAGACGACACCCAAAGTGTTGGTCATAACTAACGGCAGTGTATCTTACATAACGCGCGTCAAAGGAGGTGTGGTGTACGACGCACGGTTTATCATCTTGATAACATCATCTGTGTTGGCCTTTATACTCCTCGTATGTGTCATAATCTTCGTTTTCCTGAAGCGCTCTGGCCGCACCTATGTGTGCTGTATCTCCTGCAAGAACTGCAGGAGGAAAAAGAGTATCCCGGATATTGAGGTGTATCGTCACTCAGTACGCACGGATTCCCCGGATGTGGTGCAGCTGGATGACTTAAATCACGGCGGAGTAGAGGTTGGGGCCTACAACATGAGCAACGGCCAAACAGTCTACCACTCAGTCCACCGGGATTCGCACGTCAGAAAATACGTGTCCTTTTCAGCCTCCACCTCCAAACTGTGAATGTCAATAGGAAAGCAAGGTAACAGCGATAAAAAGTGTAAAACAGACATTATAACATTGTTATCGCTCTGCGAGAGGGCACGAAGAGCCAAGTCAGTCATGCTTTGAGATTGGCTACACGAGCGGCAATATGAGGTTATCTTGCTCGCTCAAGATTGCCCGATGTATCACGCAAGAAAATGGTATCTTGCATGTCGTATAATAAATCATTTATTGACCAAACCTGTTCACTCAACATATATGAGTTATTTACCAAGCGTGAGGTCAAGATGGCTTGATATTGGCCAAATTCTTTCCTGCGTATTTATTGACCGAGAAGTCGTGGTCCATAAACACGCAGGAAAAAACGAGGGCAATGTTCAGCCATCTTCACCAAACAAACTTGGTCAATAAGGGATTTATTGTGGCGAACCTGGTTCGGCTTCGGGAACATTTTCCTTGCGGGAACACAGCGCGTAATCCCGGGCGGGCAAGATAGCCGTATTTCACAGCGTAGAATTTCATTCACCTCGCCCGCTCACAGAGCTAGACACTTTTATTATTTCGTTTTACACGTTTTATACACTTCGACAGCATCTTGGTCCATAACCAGTCAAAAAAAATAACCTGTTCGTATAAGCCAACACGTTCTATTCATCTGCTTCAGACGGAACAAACGTTTTGGTCGATCTAAATTCAGTCGGACGAACTCAGTTGAGTCGAGTGTCCAACTTATTATGAACTTAATTCGCTCAGTTTAGTTCGACTCATGTGAAATTCGACTCCTGACTTGGACCTTACAATCTGTCTTGGCCTCCGGCTAGAAACAATCAGATACATACAGGAACGTGTGGGGACCTTACCAAGTGAATTTACTCATAGATTAATTTAGGAGCTCATAAATTTTAGTGTCTTTCAAAGTAACAGATTTATTTGTGACTTTAAACCACTAATGTATACGTGAAACGGTTCTTTTAGTCACATTAGTGCAGTATATTATCGCAGTCATCATTAGTTTACTTTCTTTTTGTTAACTTCATCGTTTTCCTTTGTTTTCATCCTCTAACAATGTTCTGTTTTTCTGCATTTCCTTTCTTACACAGGACACTGATGTGTTTGTTTCTCAGGATGGATTGTAATTGTTGCAGAAGAAATTGTTTAAACTGATATCAATGTTCATGACGAAAGGCATGTATTCTAATGTCTACGAAGTCTGTGTGTGTTATGGAACTGTTGGTAAATGGGAACCGATCAAATGAAGCAAGGCTTGTAATTGGCGACCGAATAGTCGGAGTGCGCATTTCTATTCGCACGCGCTGCGTGCCAAAACGTGAAGCACCTTAGTTACCAGACTCCTGCTTGAGTCTTTGAATGCTCATTCTTCGGGTCGATCGGCTTTCGGAATGTTTTAAGTTGTTAATTAAGGAGTTTTAGCAAACCAAAATGCAATACTTCTGGAGGTTTTTTGTTTTCTATGTTGTGCCCAATTTTTATTCATATCATTCAACTTAAATGGGAAGGAAGTCAGTAAACCATGGCGTTTTAAAACTGCTGTGTCAATCAAAATACTAATCACTGCTTATTTTGCTGGTAAAACTGACTATTTAGACTTCACTGAGAAAAGCAATGATCCGCTAGGCATCTAATGGTTAAAGAACAAGAAAAAATTGTTTCTCGTCAGGTTTATCATAAACAAAGTGCTCGCTTTATCTAGCTTTTCTCGGCGAAATCGGTGGGATCACACACTAACAAAAAGAGGCTGCTGTTCTTTCACTATTTTCCCTTCATTGAGTTTTTGTTTCTATCTCCTGTTGAAAGGAGAAACGTTGAAAATGGATAATGGTAATAGCATGGTAAGTGGCATGGAGTCCCATTGGGCTTGCAATCATCCGAGAGATATTGCAACGGGAACGTCCCAAGACAAAGATTTAATCCGCAGAACAATGGTTCAGCACGTGCGTTATAAGTCTTCGTGCATTTCTTTGCCGTCCTCTACAAAACAACGCGAAATGACCAAATTTTGCGTTGTCTGGAGAACGCGAACGACGACGGCTATTTTTTTAAATTTCTATTTCGAATTTAACGCTGTGTTCCATATCGAGTTTCTACATAGTTTTGATAATGATAAACAAACTAAATGACTTTAGAGTATCGCGAGATTCGTCGGTAAAATTTAAGTTCATTTTTTAATCGACGTTTTCCTCTGCGTCGCCGTCGTGGTTTCTTAAACTCCCTACTGAGAATTTGGGAGACCATAAAGGGGTAGTCTGGTGGTTAAAGATACCATTTTGAATTTAATCGAAGCGAAAGGTGACGTCACACTGGCAGTGATGACTCAACCAATGTTTTGCTTAGAGAAGCTCCCTCCCTAATGGTTACAGATGAGCATGGTTACTAACCGAATTAAACGACACGAAGAGCTGTTAGCCCATTTTCCCCGCAAACTAATCCTAACCATTTCAAAATTTAAGTAAAAGAAAACAACCAAGATTTAAACTTTTTGAGAAATGAAAAGAAAGAAATGACAGTACTTTCGAGACCCACAACAAAGGACATTCTATTCTAGCTATGTAATATGGACCGTGAGCTTGTAAGTGATGAACATAAATATTGCTTTCTGAGGAATTTTTAGGGCTTCATCAGCGAGCAAGTGAAACACTCATCTATTAATCAACTTGTAGTTGGTGAGGGTAGATTAGTCGCTGTGATCTAGTTTGTGAAGCTGACGTTTTGATTAGCCATCAACTTCACAAACATGCTACAGCGGTTAATTCACCCTTATCAACTTCAAGTTCACAAAAAAGCCGTAAATGCTGAGATGCGCTCATTGTCCAAAGACATGGACTTGACGTGCAACGTGACCAATTACTGCCCAATAGAGCGGTTTTCACTTGAGTGTCGAAAGTAATTCGCATTTGCCTTGGCTTTGCTTTACTACGCTTTGTGATTGGTTAAAATATCTCGCGCCACTTTCTCATGCAATCAGAAGCAAAACCAAAATCAATTGCTACTTGTTTATATACTTTTTCCCGCGCTTTGTGTCGGCCACATGTATTTGGTGCGAGTTGTGATTGGTCCACTGAATTGTCTGTGTCCATTGGGATGGGCCAGAGTAAC